AACATAGATGTGGGGTTCAGGGCCAGGTGGCCCTGATTTTGAAGCTACTTTTGTCTCTATTTCATTACTAATTAATTCTCCTTTTTTCTATTCCACTGTGTCATGTATATGGTGGGACAAATCTTTACAAGATCAAGGTTTTAAATCTGTTGAGTTCTTCTTATTTGGTGTTCTCCATATATATTTCCTGCAGCACTTTTGTCTTGTCAAAAATGATAACTGTAAGGGCTAGTTCACACCAAGTGCGGAGCACATGCAAAGCAGAGCAGTCACATCAAAACTGCATCCAATGTATTAAAAATGTATTTTGGGCTCTAGTTCACACCACAGCGTTCAGTTCCAGAGCATGTGGAAAAACTGCAGCATGCCCTATTTTTTTCTGCTCTGGAATGCACCAACACGCATGCAAATGCATCATAAACGCATGCAAACACCCTGGAATGCGTTGATTTGCAGTGAGCTTCAGATGGGATCCTGGTTTGCTAAACAGTGTATCGGTTTGCAGAGGTGAAAAACTTAAGAGAACTTAGTTTGACTTAGTTTGTTTTATGGCCTAAAAATTCTTACCCTCCTAGGATTATATTCCATACAAAGGAGGCAGGTAGGTGTTATAACTCACCCCACACACAGAGCAAGCATTAGTCCAAGTCAGAAATCATCGAGTAATACTTGATCAGCATGGAGTGTCATTACTCCTGTGGATCTCCACCTAGCCACTTCAGTCATTCAGTCTCACTGTCTGCAGACTCCTCCAATGATGCACTTAGAAATGTATCTGCCAGCAACTTTGGAGACTCACGAAAAGACCCTACTGTCATCAGCATCACAAAAGAAAAATCTTGACTTCAGGTTTCCAAGATGATGAGGAAGTCGAAGCAGGCGAAACCTCGGTTGAGATTATTAACACTCATTAGGGTATTGAAAGGCAACTCTATAGCCTAATTATCTCAGTTAGTGTTTTAAAGGCTAATTATGTGCATACACAGCAAGTTACATGCATTTTCAATCATTTTTAACCAGATGTCAATTGCGACCAGCCCTACAGTTTCACTGTTTCAATAGAGACTTTTACTGGTAGGGAGCATTGATCCATTTCAATTGAAATATGGTTGACTTTGGTTGAAAATGCCTGATGTTCCCTATGTCTATGGCTAGCATTAAAGTTCTTGTTTGCGCAAGGTACCCATTATCCAAAAACTGCTACCACCGCAGGCTAAAGGTGCCCATACTCTTTACAACCCTCGCAAGACTTTTGTCTTGCGAGGGTTGTAAAGTACTTAAAAAAACGTACAATCTTCCCATCTTGGACAGGCAGATTGTACTTGCGATCATTGCGATGACTGCAAACGGCCCGTTTGGCAGTTGTCAAACCAGCAGGCCGCTAACTCGCTGAGAATCGTACGATTCCCGGCGGGTTTTCTAGCCTGCTGGTTCGACGGAAGACGGTAGAAACGGTAGAAACGGTCGCACGCCTTCCATACACTGCACGATTCTCGTACGATCGCGGGATTTCCCGCGATTCTCGTACGAGAATCGTGCAGTGTATGGGCACCTTAAGAGGGATTATTAGGTCACATATGGGGACCCTGTTTAAAGTTGAAGGGGCGGAGTTGGAATCCGGATCATCCAGAAAGTAATAAGCCTATCCCACTTCAACCTAACCACTGAACTATCACTTTCTCAAACAATTCATTCCCACACAGCTACCTCCTCGTGTATCACTTCCCCCTCCCTCCCTTTTATAGCTGCCCACACACCTTACAATTTATCTGCAGATTTTCTGTGGTCAGATGGAAAGGGTGCAAAAGATTCCTCCATCTACACTAAACTGTGTGGCTGGAGGAATCTCCACCTGGGCCAATCTGTTGCACTTTTTCCATCTGACCACAGAAAATCTGCAGATAAATTGTAAGGTGTGTGGGCAGCTTTAGATTGTAAGCCCTCACGGGCAGGGCCCTCCTTACCATCTTGTCTTGAATTGTATTGTGCTTGTAATGTCTTCCTTATATTGTAAAGTGCTATGCAAACTGTTGGTGCTATATAAATCCTGTATAATAATAATAATAATAATAATAACAACTGCTAGAGGTGTAGATTTTAGGCTTTCACCACAAGACTAGGTGTTAAGATTTGCTCATGTGCATTTATGATTATACCTAATATAGAATGAGTCACCCAGGATCATGCCAAAGTAAGGTGAAGCAGTATTCTGTCCTTGTATATCTAATTGTATCAATGTCCTGCCTTTCCCCTTATATCCTCATACACATACAAGCTGTTTCAATATAATTGTGGTCTAGTGATCTGGGAAAGTTAAACCACAAGGCTTTATGTTTAATAAAAACATGCATAAAAGCATCCAACACATCTACAATTATACTTTTTGGAAAGATTCTTGAGCCACCAAGATGACTTTATAAACATATGTGATGCACCGTTTCTTTTTAGAGGAATCCCTGCTAAGCTGAAATTTGCAGCCATTGTCCACAGCCCGGACACAATTAGTAGAAGACACTTTAATAGACATCTGTTACATCAGGAAACCAGATGGCTGTATTTATTGAGTAGGTTGTCTACTATAATCCTGAACCCTAATATAATGTTTGGAGCTTTCTAATTTGGTAGGACACTGTGGCATAAAATAGGTGTGTCATTAAATCAGAATGTGTATGTATAACTGTTGTGAATCAGACATTTTTAAATCTGTGACCAACACCATGGGATGTTAATAAAGTCATACTTTAGTTATAACCAGAATTCTAAGATCATATGCTTTAATCCAGATACATAAAAGTGTATGTAAACCTAAGTAATTTGTCAGCATGTTTGGTATTATGCCTTACTGTTACTGTATACAGGTTTCTTAGGCAAATTGTGAATCGTTTGCTAGTAACACTTTCTGACAACGCTAAGCCTTTGCCTTCTAATTAGCAGCAGCATTGTCGGTCTACTTTTGTGAGTTTCCTTCACTTGGCAGTATGGCTACCTATCTGACAGGACTATAGCCAATTGAAGGAGCACACATAGCAGACAGACAACACTGTTTCAAAGTATAAAGCAGTGGCTCAGACATGTTGATAAACGATTGATTGTTTTTGCACAGGTATATGCAACTTCAGACTTTTTATAGTTTATTTAATGCTTGGGAATAGTGTGGCTCATAGCTCAGTTTAGCACCTTCACAAACATGGAGGAAAAGATTCTTGGAGGGGTTGTCTATAACTGCCAATCACATACACCGTAATCTACAGTAATTGCTTTAAGGCTTGTCTATGCTTTCCACCTCATATCTTGCCCCTTTGTAGTAGTTCCTCTTAGCTGATGATTAGCACAAATTATTATTATGCTTTTTGCTGTCTATACTGCCTACATTGTGCTGCCCACTTCGCTGACCTACAAATGTCCTTTTCACTCATAACCTCATTGCATGTACAGCTTCAAAAGATGTCTGAGGCAACCTCTGTTCTGGGTTTCTCTTCTCTTCCCTTCCTATTAGCCTTCACCTCACTTTTTACATTTCAAAATCCAGTTGTAGCCTTAGAATTAGATCTGCTTCCAGATAGACATTGTTCTTACAGCCTCCATTTTCATAGTCTTGCCATAGCATTTGTTTTGCAAGTTGGTATTCGGTATCGGCGAATACCGAAAAAAAGTTATCGGTACTCGATACCGAAAAACCGGTATCAGTGCAACCCCTTTACAAATCATGACATGCAGTACATGGCAATAACGAGCTAAAAGGGTGTGAGACTTCAGTTGAGCGTTAAAGTAGACCCTCTTAACCATACTAAGTCATTGCTGAGTCCTTTCTGTTACTCTCAAAATATTTTTGTAAAAATTGATCAAGGGCGCTGCTATTCCAATCAAAAGGCATTTTTAATTCCACTCCAGTTTTAACCATTTGATTCCTGGAAAACCATTAAAACTGTGGACGGTAGATTTCTACCCTGCGATTGTGTTTTCAATCACAAGATGGTGGAAAGCGTACACAACTGCCATAAATATGGCAAGAATTAGTTCTTAGTACTTGCACTTGCATGCGGCCTTTTGTACTTTTGTGTTCTAACATCTTTTAGACTGCAAGCTTGTTTGAGCAGGGACCTCGCCTCCTTTGCTTTCTCTGTCATAGTTTATAAATCAAACTCATTTGTCATTTGGCATATAGTGCTGTGAATACATATGTTGGTGCCTTCTACCTAATATGAATGTTCTGATCTGTAATGTTAAACTAACTGGTGTGCTTTAGTTGCCCTGAGTGACACAGATCGCTAATATGCATAGGCCTATTATTGTTCTCATTTATGGAAACTGGAACAAAAATGAAGCCATTGTTCTTGGCAACCAATCAAATTCCATGTTTCATTTTCCTGCTGTAATATTATTGCTTGCTATGGGTAACAGTTCCACTTCCTTTGCCCCAGCATTGTTAGATCACCCGGTATGTTCCTTCTCTATCAGAGTGGAATTTGTAGAACCTCAAAGGCAATACTTGCTGTTAGTGATAGTACCATAAAAAAAGACATGGCTGTAGGCTGCCTACCCCAGTTGTGTTTTATATCCGAGTTGGTAGCAGGGGACAGCTGTAGGACAAAGGCATTCATTCTGTGAATTCTCTTTCTTCTGTGTGACACTGTATCTGCCTTCTTTCCTACATTAGAATCCATTGTCCTCCTTCCTATTTATTTTAATATTTCAGTCTTGTTACTCGTTGTGGCCCCTGTTCCCATTCAGCCCGGCAAGTGTCTTGACAGCTTAGAACTTCCTATTCTACCTTAAGGGCCATGACACTGGGAAATGCCACATTAAACAGTTGCTCTCACTTACCATTATTCTGTACTTTTTTTTAATTAATATTGTCATGACTCGGTTTGTGGAAATATTACACAGTGAGCTGATCGCTCTTAGTAGCAAGAGATGATTGTAGCTATAATATAAGATGCATAACAAACAGTTTTCTTTTTTTGTAGCAAAAGGAGATTTTCTGTTATCTGTGTTTGCAGGCTCTCTGGCTCATATGCGGCAGGAATCCTTGCTGCAGGGTTATATTCATTTTCACGTCTAACATGGCAGTGGTCCATTGCAGCTGAGGTTTTCAGCCTAAACAATCTGTTTGTGGCGCTGCTCATAACTCTAACAGTGGAGTTTAAGAAGGCGAAGACTGCAAAAGATAGATCAAAGGTAATCATTGTTTAGATGGGCAAATAACACAGTGATGGGCAGTCTAAGAAAACAACCTATTTATGTTTTGTTGAGCACAATAAAAATTATAATGTCAAAAATGAAAATAATTTCAGTAGTATGCAAAGGGGTATTGTCACGTTGCATTGTTTTTTGTTGAACACAGGTATCCATGCACATTAGTATTGACTTAAAAAACAATAAAGCAAAAATTGACTAGTCACAGTAACCAGTTAAGTGGAACAAGGACCAAAGGATTAGTTTACGTAAATAGGTCCTTTTGCTCCACTCTGGTGATACTTTACTGTCAATTTAGAGCAGGGGTGTCAAACTCAATTTATTTGCGGGCTGCATCAGCTGGTTGTATCTGTAAGACTATATAAATGTAAAGGTTCTATGGTGGGCTGTGCGTACTCTCAGGTGGGCTATACAGGGTCTATGTTGGGCTGTGCAGACTCTCAGGTGGCTGTGCAAGTTCTATGGAGGGCTTTGCAGACTCCAAGGTGGCTGTGCAGGTTCTAAGGTGGGCTATTTTGGGGTCTATGGTGGGCTGTGCGGACTCTCAGGTGGCTGTGCGTATTTTCAGGTTGGCTATGCAGGGTCTATGTTGGTCTGTGCGGACTCTCAGGTGGCTGTGCAGGTTCTATGGTGGGCTGTGAGGACTATCAGGTGGGCTTTGCAGGGCTTATGGTGGGCTATGCAAGGTCTATGGTGGGCTGTGCGGACTCTCTGTTGGGCTGTGTGGACTCTCTGTTGGGCTGTGGGGACTCTCTGGTGGACTTTGTGGGGTCTATGATGGGCTGTGCAGGTTTAATGGTGGGCTGTGTAGGGTCTATGTTAGGCTGCGCCGGGTCTCAGGAGCGATGTGTCATCTCACCAAGGATCCCGATTGATCTTGGCGGGTGCAGTCGGTGTGGATCCACTGGAAGGAGGAGATTTACTGTCTACAGTGACGGCTTTGATTTAAAAATGTAAAGCTCCCAGAGAGGTGCAAGGGCCACAAGAAATGGTCAAGAGATTCGGCCTGCGGCCCTTGTGTTTGACACATGTGATCTAGAGTATGCCAAGACTTGTCCAGTGGCCAGCAAGGTCATTAATAATGGCACTTACCAATAAGAGCTCTCATCTATAGTATTGTCATCACTAGATATTAATCAGTCATATAAAATAATGCAAAACTTCACCTTTGAAGCCTGTTTTACTTTTGTAGAGTTTGTACTAGGCTGCTAGAGCCTTTATTTACTTATATAAAAACTGAATTTCGTCTGCTGCGTGTAATTATTTTTTTCTTTTCAGGTTTCTCTGTATGGCGCTTTCTGCTGCGGAATTAGCCTGTGTAATCAGCACACTATTGTGCTGTACATTGTGTGCATAGTACTGTGGGCTCTCTTTCAGCTGGTCTCTCATAAGGTATGTCATTCTTGTATATGCACACATTCATATAACCTTCTGCTCTGTAAAGTCTATAATAAGGCACCAGGGTTTGAGCAGTATAAAATGTAGAGTCAGCATTAAAAAATAGTGTTTAGGAACTAGAGAGATTGTTAGAATAAGTGTTTGGGATATACAGCCTTACTCGTTAAAGTGAACCTATCCACACGGGCAAAGTAAAATGTTCACTTATCTCTATCACCGCTCCCCTCCACCCCAGCAGGACAAGCCCACCTTTCCTCCATTCCTCCACCTCCCTGTTAGCTGCCAAGAGCAGAAACAAGTAACTGATCCATCTGGGCAGGGCAGCCTTTAATATTCAGTGGGCCCTGGGCAAAATTTTGCTGATGGGCCCCCACAACCCATCCACTTCCATCACCTGCCCCCCCAATTTCCAGACCTAGACCCCCCCATATCCACCTACATCACCTTCCACTGAAACTAAAAAATAAAAATATGTATTCCCCTCCCTTTTAGATTGTAAGCCCTCACGGGCAGGGCCCTCCTTACCATTTTGTCTTGATTTGTATTGTGATTGTAATGTCTTCCTTATATTGTAAAGCACTGCACAAACTGTTGGCGCTATATAAATCCTGTATAATAATAATAATAATAATAATAATAATTATGTGTGAATATAGATATACTGTATATACAGTTCAATGCAGTAATGCAATCAACTCAGGACTCTGCACCGCAACAGACTCAACAATACAATGGACTCGGCACTCTGCACTGCAATGGACTCAGCTCTTGCAACGCAATGGACTCAGCAATTTTCAACAGAATGAACTCTACAATATAGATTTTTGACCCATAAGTCTATATTACAGTACATGTAGAATCCATATGTTGAAAATGTAATGCATCATGCAGCAAGTGTTCGGGTACATGCAATGTAAATGCAATACCAATTTTTACTAATATAACCATGTATTGGTACATTTGTTCTGAACCACTTGTTAAATCATACAATAAGATTTTTTATTCAAATCTTATTGTATGATTTATCAAGTAGTATAGAACAAATGTAGCACTACTTGGTTATATTAGTAAAATCGGTAGTGAATTTACATTGCATGCCCCCGAACACTAGCTGCACGGTGCATTGCATTTTTATCAAATGCCTCTATATATGAATGCATAGGTTGCAATGCAATACAGTCCTGATTCTTTCTTTCCAGTTCTGCTCCTAGTCCAAACATGTGCAAGTGCTAACATTTGCTGTCCATGTAAAGTTAAATACAGATATTTGCTAATAAAGATATTACATAGTTTGCTATTTTTTTTTTACCTTTCACGTTGTGCTGTGCCCTCCCCCTCCTTCTCCTCCGTGCCTGATCTCTGTGACATGCACCAGGGGAGGAGATCAAAGCAGGAGGCTCACAGACACATGGCCGGTCTGTCTCCCCACTGACACTACTGCGGCTCTTTTTCTCTCTGCTGTTCGGGGCGAAAGGGACAGCTGTTGTGGGCCCCTGTGATCTATGGGGCCCAGGGCATCTGCCCTTTTTGCCCTGTGGTAAAGACGGCCCTGTATCTGGGTAAGAGTAAGCATGTGGCTCACTACTTTTCTCATGTGACAATGCTCGTGACTAAGGATAGGCCAAGAGCTGTCGCACTGGGCCAGAAAAGGAAGCCATAGCCCTGTGTAATCTCCATCAAGATGGTTTAAACTTACTGAGGGCTTTCTATATTTGGTCCGTGCAGCAGAACAGAGCAGCAGATAATAAGTGTTAGGGAAATACGGCCATGCTCATTAAAATAAGCCTATCCATGCTGGCAAAGTAAAATGTTAATTTATCTCCATCACCCCCCCACCACAAGTTCACCTTTTCTCCAATCCCCCACCTCCCCGTTGAGTTGCCAAGAGCAACAACAAGTAACCGGCTCATCTGGGTAAGAGTAAGCATGTGGCTCACTCTTTTTCTTATGTGACAATGCTCGTGGCTAAGGATGGGCCCAGAGCTGTCACATGGGGCCAGGAAAGGAACCCATAGCCCTGTGTAAGCTCCATCAAGATGGTTTTAACTTACACAGGACTTTCTATCCTTGGTCCGTGCAGCAGAACAGAGCATCAAGGAAGTGAGAAAAATAGAATATATGCTAGGGAAAAGGGGGGTTAAAGGAGAACTATGGGGTAAGTGTTTTTCCCCATTGTTCTCCTAAGGGTCACGGGAGGACATATACTAGCATTCTCCCGTGACCAAAAGCTCAGTATATCGCGAGCTACAGCTCGCGGTATACTGAGGCCGCCGCAGCTGGGATAGATCCCGACATTACTGTCGAGATCCACCCAGCTTCGTGGGTGACAGCTGGCTCTGCCTATCTAGAGGCAGAGTCAACTGTACCCACCCCCTCCCCCATTCGTTCCCGCCTGTTAGCGCTGGAGGAGCGGGGAGGGGGGAATCCCTGCAGGGAGCAGTGAGTAACAGTCACGGCTCTCTGCAGGGAGATGATTGAGAAGTGAGTGAGCGACGGTATGTTTTCACTTCCCGATCTATTGAGCCGACGTGTGACAGTTTCATTGTCACACGTCGGCTCGAACTATGAGGTTGAGTAAAAATCACTCACCTCATAGTTCTCCTTTTAAGGAAATAACTATAAAGCAGGGGTAGGCAAACTCCAGCCCTCCAGCTGTGGTGCAATTTGATGCCTGTGGCTTTCAGATTCTTGCAATGCCTCATGTGATTTGTAGTTACATCACAGCTGGAGGGCTGGAGTTTGCCTACCCTGCTATAAAGAGTTCCTAAATCTTACAGGCTACAGGCCATTTTTGGTTGGTGTTAAGTATAAATTGAGCAGAGCCGAAAGAGGAGCCGTTTGAATGGGTGATTAAAAAAAACAACATATATGAGAAAATAAAGCTTTAAACACTTGAATGCCAATTTCATATGGAACAATAATGGTGACACACCTCAGCAATATTTGTATTGTTCGGCACATTGTTTGGAGCATTTTTAGTATTGTAAAGATTTGTATTAGTAGAATTATTTTTTTAAATGTTGATTAATGTTTTATATCACTTTACAGTATCATAATTTCCAGAGGTGGATTTGAGCTCTATACATTTTTCCTTTGAATAGAATTTCTTAAAATTTATACTTTTAAGTGTCTTCTGTAAAACCATATCCTGCAACAGCTCTGCATACGCATGCTGATAGGTGTGTAACACAGATGTTGAATTCTGCCCTAATTTTGATAATTTTCGATGAATACCAGATATTCTAGAAAATGCAATATCAGCCCTGTGCTAATATTTTCCGAGTAGGTTATCTGAGTCTTGCAGCTCCTATGGATCTGGTGAATATGATTTGAGAGGAGGCGATGCAGGTTATATGATACTTAGGAGCCCACGCTAATAATATTGGCTTCACTTACATTCTCACTATGCCATGCAAAAGAGATCAGTTTGAAGCAATTTCTAAATAATCCCCAAAGTCATGAGATTTGACAGCATTCACCACGACTAGTTACAGATTGGGAAATCATCTATGTGTAAAATATTATTTGATGTTTTTCCAGACTCTTCTGTCGGGGGGTTACATAAAAATGGAGGAGATGAAAAATTGAGATTTTTGCCCCTAAGGACCAATCAGAATCCAGCTATAATTTGTTCAGCATTTGATCAAACTGGCTTGTTTTGTGGTCACACTACAGTTCTCTAAAGATGGCCACGTGCAATACAGTCTTGATTGTTCATTCTCTATACAATTTCATTTTGATTTGCTAGCAATTATGTAGTGTGCCTACCTAATTTTATATCCAGTCAGTTAGGTCCTTACATTACACAGTGCTTGGTAAACCTAAAGGATATTGTGATGTGTGTGGCCAGCATCCTCCATACTCAATTATTAAAGTGATACTAAACTCAGGAGTTAAATCTTAAAAATGCATTCAAGTACCTTAATTATTAACAAAAATGTCTCTTATTTGTGTATCACTCGGCTGTAGATCATCAAATCATCTCTGAATTGGTGCTGACAATGTCCTTCCTTCTGGAGGGTGGCTACGTTTGTGCCCCATGGTCCCTGTGTATGTTGTACAGTAGCCACTGCTCCGAGCTCACTACCGTGATGGACTACAATCTCATGTTTGGTTTACTAATTTGTATTGAGGTTGTAGTCCATTATGGGAGCCAGCTTACAACACACAAAGGGACCTTGGGGAACAAAAGTAGCCACCCTCCAGAAGGAAGGACAGTGTCAGCATGAATATAGAGATTTTTTTTTGAGGATCTACAGCCGAGTGATACACAAATAAGATACGTTTTTGGTAATAGTTCAGGTTCCTGAATTAATTTTTAAGATTTAATTCCTAAGTTCAGTGTCATTTTAACTGCCAGTAACTGGAGTAAGGAATTGGCCATATGCAGTCTCAATTGGCACTACTAACTGCTTCTATGCCCTTTGTTTCAAGAACAGCCCAAGGTAAAGTGAACCCGTGTTTTGCCCACGCGCCTCTACCAGTAACTCGTACTTGTCTTACATTCACTCTTTTAGCACTCCAATTACTTGTCAGGAGCAAGAAGAATAAATTACGAGTGCTGGCATTGGGAGGAAGGGGAGTGGGGCACATTGTCCCATATTCTGAATTACAGGGTATTTTTTTCCCTCCTGGGGGGGCCAAGCGGCAAGGAAACATAAGTATTAATGGCTGGTGGGGTAATCTTTAAAGTGAACCCGTTGCTTTGCTCTGCCTGGGCAAAGCCGAGGTTTGATTTAAAGTACCACTATTGCAAGACGATATTTTTATCTGATAACTATAGATGGTAAAGTCAAATGATATGAATGAGCTTCCTATAGCCATTACATACACATAACAGTACCCATAACTGTACAGAAAATTAGATCAGAATTTCCAGCTGTGCAGAAAGTCACACATTTACTTTTAACAGTCACTCTTTATTCATATGTTTAATTTGTTTCTATAACTGGTCCAGCACCCATGGCAGTATTATAGTTTGTTCCAACCCCGTCACTGCCACTTTTTATGGTCAGCTAAGTTAGCAAGCAAATGTGGAGAAAAACATAAAAATAGCACGTGAAATATAAACAGAAACGAATGAATAATGTCATTGCATGTATTTTTATTTTAGGTACAGGGGTTCTATAACATGCCTCCTTTTCTATTTGGAAATCATTGATTGTCTATTTTAATTCTACAGAATAGTTCTGTAATAAAGACTGTTTGGTATTAACAGACACTATTTCCTGTGTAGGAATTGTCCTTGAAACATTTGCTGAAGTTAGCTGCATGCTTCGCCGTGGGACTCTTACCGTATTTGTACCTCATTGTCTCCTCGTACTTCAATCAAGCACGGTGGACCTGGGGAGACCAGACATCCATTCAAGGGCTCCTGACTCATTTACTTCGAGAGGAGTACGGGACATTCAGTCTGGTAATAACGTCTCTCTTGTTTTGCCTTCTTTAAAGTTCAGAAGAACTTTTAATTGCAATATTATTCCTTCATCCTTAAGAAATTCCTTTCATTTTCTTTCTCAAGTGGTCAATCTGGCATTTAGCCGAATACAGCTGTTGGAAATAAATCCCTACCTCTGGTTAATAGTCAGGGCAGGTTAAAGCACAGGAGTGCCTTTTTTATATTGTTCCAGTGGTACTTTTTTTTTTACTAAGCACCCCTGAATATAATACAGATAAGGCATTGTAAGAACCCTTATAGAAAAACAGAATGGTATGTAGCCAATGAGGGATTGGAATGTCTTCTTTTCTTGTTTCCCATTGGCTGTATAATTTTCTACATTCTGTAGATGTGTTTGTTGAGGGTTTCTTCTGTGTATAGGTTAAAAATACATTGCAGTCAAGAAGGATTTTGAAAGAGACTAAGAAAGAAAGCCAGCTTCTGAGTGGTTATTATTGTCATCGTTGGATTCATCAGCAAGCTGCCCTCTTGATAAATACCTATGTTGTTGGTATCCCCATCTTCTAGAACTTGAATCTCTGAGGCAGTCAAAAGCCTATCTGTGCCCTTGATTGCCCCTACGGCACCACGCTATTAGCCCATCACTGTCATGGGAGGCCTCACTGGCCAACAGTAGGTCACATGAAGGGAGAGGCCAAGCTTTCAAACAGGCAAGCTGGTCAAAGTGATAGCTCTAGGATTTTGGGCTCCTTGGGCAAATTAGGAGAAGCTGATGTAAAGGCATCCAGTGGTGCCAGTATTACATATCAGTGCTCTATCAATTTGAACATGATTTTGATTCCCATGAAATTGTACCTGTGGCCCACTGTATTAGAAAACTGTCACTTTTGTGGTTGAGAACCTGGTCCCTTCTTGTTTCCTTTTCTCATTATTCGCAGAAAATCCACCTATTATAGTAATAGATAGTGAGGTGCAGGAGTAAGCAGCGCCAGGCATTAATTCCATGGAATCTGTTGTTTTTTTGCATAACAGAGAAGCGTAGGTTGCAGGGTTTCTGGGACATTCTAGAAGATAAGTCAGTTGATAAGCAAGAATCTAGGTATTCTTGCTACACCATGGAAGTGGTGGTTTAATAACATGAAGAGGACTACAAACTTGTTGAGTGAAGCTGCTCTTCAAAGCGAGTAAAATAAGTCAGAAAGGCTTTTCAGAGGTATTACCAGAAATACAAGGTATTGTATGCTTGTATTTGCAGTTTATGCTGTTAGACCATAATGTAAGTTTTAATAAACTAAATTAATTTAATGTGTTTTTTTTACCCAGGCTAAATCAGAAACAGGATCTAGTATGAAAGAAATGCTGATGTAAGATATGGTTTTTAACTATTTTAATGTTATGCTAATATACAGTATACATTCTTTATAACTGATGGACCATAGCAAAATTTTACTCTAAAACTAATGCTTGAATATATCATTGCTATGGTGCAGTGTTATTTTGGGTATTCTGAATCTATAGCTTCAAGTTAGAATCTTTCAGATCCCTGTAGTTACCTGTAGTTAACACGTGAGTGGAGTGCCATGGAGAAAAAATGTGGGGAAGGTAGACACTTTATGCAGATACTTTATTTTTATAGTCATGAAGGTTTTTAATCTATTTTGCTAAATTGATGTTGTATAGACAATGTCTAAGGAAACATCATTGCTGAAGGTCCCTACAAGTACCAATGTTACTCTTCAATTCCTATGTTCCAGTGTCCCTGCTTTAAACAGGGCCTCAGCTTCTCTACAGGTAAATATTGACCCCTAAAAGAGAATTATGGGGTAAGTGTTTTTCCCCATAGTTCTCTTAAGGGTCACGGGAGGACATATACTAGCATCCTCCCATGACCCAAAGCTCAGTATATCACGAGCTACAGCTCGCGGTATACTGAGACAGCCACAGCCGGGACAAATCCCGACAATGCTGTCGAGAGCCACCCAGCTGCGTGAGTGACAGCTGGCTCTGCCTATCTAGAGGGGCATTGTATGGGCAGGGTACAAGAGTGAGGCATTCATGGTTCTGCTCTGCAGATATATTTTTAGGATAAAACTGGTACTTACAAGTGTCACAAGGTGCCTACAGTTAAGTAGTATTGTTATCTTTGGCAGTATTTAGACCAGGAAAGGTTCACTTTAAAGTCCAAGCAGATATAAAGTATCCCTAACTGCATAAATCTAAGACAATGTCTGTCCCCCATTCTTTCTTCTCTGTTACCCTCCATGCCCTTTATTGAAAAAGAGTATCTAAACCTGAGGATAGAAAGTGTGTTATGGGGAAGAAGGATTCTGTAGTTCACAGAGAAGAATGTAAACGCTGCTAACTGATAATTATCAGTTCTTGACTGTTGTAACAGTCAACAGAGGCAGAGCGCACAGAAAGATTTTTGGCAGTTATGTTTTGCACTTGCATCAAATAGATATAACAAAATGCTGCTGAATGATATATATTTAGCAGACCAAAAGAAAGCAAAGAAGTTAAATGTATTGTTTGCAGTTTTTACATAGACTGAACGTATCCATATAAATTGTGATCCATTCTTTGTTCGTGCAGGTTCCAAATAAGTCACATGTTCACGGAGATCAGTCCCTTGGCTCCAGGCCTAGCCACTCTAGCACTGATATTATGTTTTATAACTAGGTAGGTTAAACAATTTCCTTTATTAGTTTCATATTCTTCCTTTATAGCCATGTCTCAGCAGTTTTCAATGTGGCCTGTTTCTGTCTAGTAAAAATATGGTAATTTGAAGTGTAGATTTGACTTATTATCCATTTTCCAGTTTTTGCAACTAAAGAAAAATGAATGTATGCAATTTTACTGGCTAATGCAACAGGTTTCTAAAATGTACTATAGCATAATGCAGTTGATTATAATTATTCCTGAATTGTTTAAATAGGGTGATCCTATTCAAATCACATATCTGCATTAAGGTCATGTTCACACGCCTGTTATGATGCATCAGCATGCAGGTTACTTGGCATCTGATTGTTTTCAATGGTTCTGGCTCACATTTATGCATTGTGTTGCATCATGGAAAATTCATCCATCCATGCGCTTTGTAAGGCCCTTAGAAGTCACTTGGAGTGGATGAGAATGCTGAGACCTACCTCTGGTAACAGGCCACATGCTCTTGGTCTAGCTACATTATATGACAGCATCTTCTCACAACTCCGTAGATGCATATCCCTAGAGCATATAATTCAAGAAAGAGCACAATGAAAACTTGCACAACCACATGGAAATGTGCGTTGAGAAACACACAAAAAATTAAGTGCATAGGGGCGAAGCCAGTCAATATATAAAAGAAGAACTCTAGGAAAAAAATGATATACTCACCCTATGCTGTGAGCCAGTTTGTTCTTAGACCGGTCCCTAGAGCCTCTCTCTCCCTCTTCTGCCATAGTCTAAGGTCCTGTAAATCATGCCGCACTGTGTTTAGATGTGAGGACACTGAGGAAGTTTCCAATGCTCCAGAGGAGGAGAGAGACTGGAGGGAATGCTGTGACAGCTGGCCGGCCTGAAGCTTCGGCTGAGTATAACTTGCGGAGTATAAATATTTTTATTACTATATTATTATTACTATTATTACATAGTATTTATATAGCGCCAACAGTTTGCGCAGCGCTTTACAATGTAAGGAAGACATTACAATTACAATACAATTCAAGACAGGATGGTAAGGAGGGCCCTGCCCCTGAGGGCTTACAATCTGAAAGAGGAGGGGGAAATGATACATGAGGAGGTAGCTGTGTGGGGATGAATTGTTTGAGAATGTGATGGTTCAGTGGTTAGGTTGAGGTGGAAGTGGAGTTTTTTGAGGAGCAGCGGGTGGTCAACAGTGTCAAAAGCAGCAGAGAGGTCTAATAGCAAGAGTAAGGAATAGTGGCCGTTGTTTTTAGCTGTTATTAGCTGTTATAAATAGCATACATTTAAATGTTAATAAATATAAAATAAAAAATATACATTTTATAAAAAAATATAAATATAAATGTTTAATAAATAAAATGTTATTAGCTGTTATAAATAGCGCGGGTACCCCCACTGCAAGAGTTAACAAAACGTTTTCCTGGAGTTCTTCTTTAAGGTGAATCAGCAATTTTCCAGATTTCACCAGTTTACCTCTGTCTTTTAATAAATTTGTCTGTTTCTAAAATTCGGAAGGGCTGCTGACTGCTAAACCAAACAGCTGTGAATATCTTTGTTGTTTTTTAGAAACTCTATTGGAGTTAAATTCTCTGTTGCTCTGCTTTTTTTTAATGACTAACCCAGCAAAATATTCTTCTGCTCTTTGTATCTGAACATTTCTGTTACAGAAGCTCGCACATGTCAGAGGTCGGTCTTTTTACCGGAATGCTGCTTGGCTATTCCTTGTTTTTCTCTTGGAGGGCTAATTTAGATATTGCTAAGCCTCTCTTCCTGGGAGTGGTAAGTCGGTTAACTAAAAGTATCGATGTCCTTGCACATTCTACTTGTATTTTGTATATCATTTTACTTTTGCTTTGTTGTATCTGTTTTTCTTCAAAATGAAAGTTATTAAATAAAAAAAGTATATATGTGCAGGTCAGTATACAGTGTGTGTGTAATGTACAATTTGTACAGTCTAATCCAGGCTAAAGTAAAATGCCAACCAAAACTTTTAATTCTAGATAGTGAAGAAATGTTTATAAAGACACCCTGTCACCAACTTAAAAATTGCAAGTAAAAGCAATCAAGTATTGTAAATGCTTACTTGCAGTGGTTTCCTTTTTATAGGTGATTTTTGTTTGCTTGCGATGTGCTTTTGAACTTGCTAACAAATTTGACTGCTCCAGGAAAAGCAAATTCTCTAGCACAGTCTCCTCCCGCCTTGGACATCATAACCCTCTCCACTTCTGGGAGTGCCTAATTCCTGTCTGTGCTGGCCCAGCTCCATTGCCCCTTCCTTTACTTCCTTACATAACTTTGTATGTAGTTGACAGGGGAGGAGCAAAGAGCTATACTATAGCACATCACTTAAGTGTCAACTCTGCGTCTGCCGGAGATGCTGATATCACATCAATGCTGGTGGCACCCAGCAGAAGTCTCCAAGCTTTTGGATGTGTACACCAAGGAGGGGCTTGCATAAAATACATTAAATACACTCTCATGGGAAGATTTTTGTAGAAATGTATAGTCTGGCAACAGGGTCTCTGTAATGCTACCTGTAACCCCATTGGGGAGATTTCATTTCCTGCCCTAGTGACAACCAGTGCATCACTGTGAGCTAAATGTCCCCTTTCTCCATTTCTGAAGTGCATGGTTTTTTTTGTATATTAAACACAAAATCCAAGACGTGAGAGGGAGTGAGAGGTAGTCCCACCACCACCTTCTCATTTGGCACATTTTAGTGTGAAAAGGGTCAGTAATGGAAGGGACAGGAAAGTGATGCAGGAAGTGGGTTGAGCTTTATGTCATAGAGAAGCTCAGGGAAAATAAAGACTGCTGGTCAAGGCAGTCTGACAAACGACAGCCTGCTGATCCACTGATGACAACTTTTTGTCAAGTATGAGATGTAATCGGTGTACAGTCTCAGTATAACGTGGTGCATGGTGGGGTGTACTGAGTGCATTGGAATGAATGGATCTGGTGAGTACCTGGTACACTGTGCTAATATTTCAGAATCTCCCTTCTGTACACTGGGCAGTAGATTATACACTTCACAGTGCTGCATTCTGAATGTTGTGCTCTGTGTTATGTACTCAATATCACTAATCATCACAAGATTTTCATATTAATAGACAGAAGTTATTTGTAATGCTGGGACTTTCTAATCCCATTCCATTTACAAAGTGGGCAACCTTTTGTTAGTTTATTCCTATGGAGAGTTCACTAGAAAACCAGTGTCACTGTCAATAGCTACTCTCTACAAAGCTAAAATTGCTGAATAGCCAAGTGGCTGACTAACTGTCTATATGTTCAATGTGCAAAGCAGAGTAGCTTGAAGCATCCAACTCTTAATGTTTTCCACAGGTGGAGAGATTTTGGATGCAGAGCAATATTGTGGTGTGTGTGTTAGCGGGCCTCGGCCTAGCTTCCTTAACACGCAGCCTTTCTGCGAAGTTGACCAACAAGCACTGGATTTTCTCCTTAGAATGGATTTTCTCTGTTGTCCTAGTTGCTCGTCAGATAAGTGTGAACTATAGGTAAGCCTTTTGTTACGATGTCTCTGCATGTACTGGATGTTCCTGGATCTAGTAGGACTTGTTTATTTTGGAAACTGTATTCTGGAAACAGATTTCACTTTGTTTTGCAACTTGAGCAGACATCTGCATTCTCTCTGCAAAACTCTTTTTGGCACAGTATACTTATAAACTGAAAACTGCCATTGGTGCTCTTCACTTTACAAATGGAAAAGGAAACTATTAAGACCTTCCCCTTTACTGATGGGTGGGTCCAATGCTTTGGAAATGTTAGTTGTCTGATTGCCTCTACCACTGGGCACCACCCAAGTTAGTTTTAAAATGTTCAAGGAGCTGGTAGGTGTAAGGCTGGCCATACACCTATAGATTTTCGATTGGGAATTTTCGCTGCTGCCAAGAACCTTCTTTTCATTCTAGCTCAAATACCCCATCATGCACAGACCAATGTAATTTTGATAATTGTTCGTTAGCAATACTAACTCACCGAATTTCGTCGATCATCAGAGCAGATTTTTGTTTGCACACGTGCAATGTTGATTTTATGCGATTTCTTTTTTCTGTACGAAACTGCCACTAATTCATCGATTTTCGTACAATCCGAAAAAAGTTTTCCAGCCTCACCATTCGAAAAAATCCAGCCAGGAGTACCTTAAAAAAATTTGTTGGGTTCCTATCAACTGATCGATTATCTTACAAAAGACCATTTGTGGATGATTTCCGATCGATAATTGATAGGTGTATGGCACCTTTATGTAGGCTACCAGGCTCGAATATTGAGTCTCTGACATTCCCGGAAGTGTCAGATTCTGTTAGACATGTGACGTATGTAACGCAATTTAAATTACATGTATTTCTAGTGGACGTGGAATTTGTGTTAGTGGCTATTGTACTGGCTATGGAAATTTACTAAGCAGACATTGCTTTAAAGTTTAAAGAACAAACCAAATACATTCATAATATTGTTTCTCATATCTGTTTGTTTTAGCCTTTGTGACCAAAGCAGCAATTATGTGGTGGACACATTTGGCAGGAACATTTTGTCCTCGTTCCCATTAAATGCCATAATTTTGCTGAGAGGCGATTTGCCAGGAAACTCATTGCGTTATCTTCATTACTGTGAAGGACTTCGCCCTGACCTATCCTTAGTGGATCAAGAGGTGAGAAGAGATAATTGTCCTTTACAGCCCTTGCACAAAAATTCTAAAGGTCTTTTTTTTTTTTTAAAGTGCACTTCTTTTCTCTTAAATCAATGCTGTCTTAGCTTTTCATGGAAGAGACTATTCTAAGAACCTGTGCAAGAGTCAGATCACATTAAACATGTCATGTCTTAAGGGTTGTCCAAAAATCCTTGTGTGACTGCTCCTAAATGATCATTGTGCCACCTCTGCTTTCACCAGACAGGAAGACAGGAAATGTGTATTGTACTATAGAAAATAGACTTATGTGGGAATAGACTGACTGTGCCTTCATTTACTGTGAACTTTTTGAAAATTACAAGTTGTTTTATAAAAAAAAAAAAAATAGCTTTTAATAACATTTATGGATATATATATATATATATGTGTGTGTGTGTATATGTGTATATATATTATTTGGGGTATGCTAATGTTTCATTGCTTCATTACAGATGATGACATATGCATGGTATGTACCAAAGACTGTAAAACACTTACCAGATGTTTATTTTCCTGGCAATCGATGGAACCCAGTTGAAACACAACTTTCAGATGGAACAATGACTTTCAGCCTTCACCGCTTTCTCAAAGTAAATGAACAGTAAGCATTTCTGTGTACTAAACGTTTGGTTCCATTGTAGTTACGTGATGTTATGATAATCAATTAAAATTGCCCTTTTGCTTTCATGCAAGCAAATGTTATACACCTCATACCTACAGTATGTTTGTATTACAGCTGTATTCTTAATTTTTCATTCAATATATTTTATTGCTATAACAGCGTTACAATCGTGCCAGTAAAGTCACAGCATGTAAGCATGGGTTACACTAATTAGAAAAGGCAACATGTCCCTGGGCTTGACTCATCAGTTGCCGGCTGGTAACCAATTAGTAGTTTATACAAACTGTACTGTGAGGCTGCGGGGTAAAAGAGAGTACAATGGGGTTCACTATAGGAAATTCAAAGGCCTAGGTCGAGAGATGTGAACAGTAAGGTGGTGTTGGCCAGGGCCGAGCTATCTACAGATTGCAGGGGAGGGTTAGGGGTTCTGTTATTAGGAATGATGTAAGGCATGGGGGGAGGGGGTAGTAGAAGAAGGGAAATTCAGGGGAGAAAAATAGCATAAAGGAGAGTGGCCTTCCCCTACAGGGTAACAGGAAGGGCCCAAATTAGGATTCCTTCACATTGTCAGCAAGTCTCCACGGAAGGTTGGTGGAAAGAAAACATTTATCCATGGAGACCAAAAGAGTTCAAACTTATTTATGGAGTAGTTTTGTCATGCAGTGAGCTTTCCAAAAAATAGTCATAGGGGGAGCATAGGTGTCTTCCAAGAATGCACTATAATTCTTTTTGCAGCTTTAAAAATAAGCCAAAGTAAATTGAAATGATTTGGGGTATAATCCAATGGCTTTTTGTTCAGCAAGGCTTGAAAAGGGTTTTTTTATTTTGAAGGAGGGAACCCATAATCCAGATGTGGGCAAAGTTGCTTTCTGTTTGGTAGCCTCTAAAACAAGTGGAGGGGTAGACGGTAGGGCTTTGGAGATCCTGGTTGGGACTAAGCGCTATCCCAAAAACAATTTGTAATTCATTTCTAGCATCGAAACAGTGCTAGAGCTCTTGAATGTGGATTCACAATTTCGTATTTCGTGTCCGAAACTCAATTCGGATTCGTACTAAATACGAATTTTCGTTAATTTCGTCACATTTTCGTAACTTTACGAACATTCGTTATGATATATTTAAAAAGCAAAAATACCTTTTGTTAATATTGGAGTCGATGGTAGTTTTTTTTTTATCCGAAATACGAAATTCCGTTAACGGATTTCGGATCCGAATTTCGTATTTCGGATAAAAAAAAAGAACTACCATCAACTCCAATATATTAACAAAAGGTATTTTTGCTTTTTAACTTTATCATAACGAATGTTCGTAACGGATCCAAAATTCGTTAACTGAATTTCGTATTTCGGATATAATTCGGAAACTGCAATTCGGATTTCGGATGCTTTCGAATTGAAGAATTTCAGGAAATGCGTACGAATTTCGATTCGTAACGAAACGTATCGCACATGTCTAATGAATGGACAATTTGCTGATGGTAAGTAGGGGACATCTGAAAGTGGTAAAATTTCTGCCAGATCTGTAGTAAACAGTTGGGTTCCCTATGATGGTCAGTAGGGGAGAGTGGGGGGAAATTAGACTTCTGGAATATTTGATGTTGTCCCAATATGTTCAAGGAGTGGGCTGTAATGGGTTTAAAAACAGGACAGTGCCAATAAGCTGGTTGCTATAAGTTATTGATAGTCACTGGGTTGCTGAGATAGCTATGGGGGGCGTTAGGAGCTGCATGCCAGAATGAGACTTGTCCTATCTGAGCTGCATAGTAGTATTTTGAAATATGAGGTACGCTAAGAACTCTGAAAGCTTTAGTATGAAACAGCACCATATGTGACAAACGTTTTGTACCAAATAAAGCAAAATGTCTGACTTTGCAGTGCGCATAGGCGGAAATGTAAGACAGGGTCGGGTAAAACCCTTGCGCAGTCCAAAAATTGTCATGTCTTCCATTTTCATGATAGATATATATATATATAAAAGCTGTTTTGGTTTCCATTTTGTTTTCTAAAATGTTTTACTCTTCTGCTTGCAGCAGGGAAATATTTGTATGTATTGGAATAAATGAGGGTGATCCGACGTGGAGGAAAAGCTATTCATTGTGGCCATGGGGATCATGTGAGAAGTCTGTCCCCAAAAATACACTTTTCAATGCAGAAGACTGGATTGTACTCACCACAAACCTGTATAACTGGACAGAAGAGTATGGAAAGTATGTGTGATGTTTGCAATAGATCTTGGTGTTTTGTGGTTACTAGATGTATTATTGTGGTGTTTTTTTCACAAGTTTTTTTTCCTTCGGTACATTAGGAGAATGGGGGAGACTGAGGCATTGATGCAACAGAGTATGGAAAATAGTTAAAGTGGAGTCGCATTCAAAAAATATGTTTAAGTAGTTGTAAGGGCCAATACACTGTATAGCTTTTAAGCTAAACTCCAGGCAACGAGATCAATACACAGATAAAATACATGTAAGGGAGCTGTTGTACTTTCCAAAGGATTTGTATATCTGTCCAACCAGTCCTGAGATTTACACAGCCCTGCCTTACCTCACAGCTTTGTCTGGCACGGCAGGAAACGTAATTTTCCTCTGCTGCAGTTCAGTAAAACTTACAGGTCTCTTCCCATCCTCGCCCTGTAACTGGATAGAGAAAAGAGAAGCAGAAAACATCAGAGCTCATCTCTCTGTCACTCTGTCACTCTGTCCTCTTTCTATCAGCATTCTCCTTGCACTGTAGCAGAACTGATTGTCTCCTTTTTTGGGCTTCATCCTTCCCCTCTTCCTTTACCTTTCTATACTTAGCAAATCTTCCTTCATTTGTGTCTCACATGCTCCCTTCTAGACACTGCAGATGAGAAGATTTCATCAACAGAGGCAATGTTGTCAATCCAGAAAGCAGTTGGCGGGTCTAGGTGTGGCCAGGTGCTGATTGACAGGCTACTGGCTCGTGAATCAGCAGGGAAAGTACTGATAGCCATGCCCCCTGCAATATTTATTTATCTCACTGTGGTGCAAGGAGGCACAGCTTATTTAAGAATGACAACTCTGCTCTGAATTCTGGAGCAGTGCAGCATTGTTGCCACTTCATCACATGAAGCTGCATTAGGTGGACTCAGGCTCAACTGGTATTTGAGGGACTTGTCAGAAACAAAAAGAGAAAACTAGAAGTGCAAATGAATTCATAATTAGGTGCTGCAGCATATATATTTTAATGGGCTTTATGGAAGGCCATAGATCAACTGTTTGATTGTAGATATATTTTAACATACACTTTTGAAACATGCTGCCATGTGACCTGTAATACAGTCTTGTAGGCATATACACTGAGTGGCCAGATTATTATGACCACCCCATCAGTACTTCGTTGGGCCACCTTTTGCCTTCAATCCTGCGGCGATTCTTCTTGGCATTGTTGCCCTTCTGTCGTCTTGTACCAGTCTTGCCAGTCTCCGTTCTGCCCTAACATTGACTAGTCGCTGACGGCCACAATTCACACGTTCAGACCCAGATTTTCGGCTGACAGTCCAGTCTTTAAACACTTTAACAACAGCTGCTCTTGAACATTTAAGGAATTCTGCTGTTTTGCTGATACTCGCTCCATGGCTCTGAGCGCCAACAATCATCCCACGTTCAAAGGCTGTTAAATCGCATTGTTTAACCATATCTTCAGAAAAAAATCACTTCTACTGTTGTGGTAAACAACCTGCTTCCCTATTTATAATGGTCTGGCCCTCTAGCAGCTACAACGCGAAATTATAGCTAATATGCCTACAAATGTCAGGTGGTCATAATAATCTGGCCACTCAGTGTATAAAGAATTCACCTCTGTTAGTGATACTTTAAGTTTTCTTGGAAAGCCATAAATCGAATTTCACATTAGAAGGTAAAAGGAGATCTTCCATCCCAGACCATTTCTTTAATTTGGCTGGAATGGGGCAGAGTTCGATCTACAGCCAGGGCTTTACTGATGTCTGATAAGTTGAAGGGATGACCTCCTTGAACATGACTGTGAAAAGATGTATGGTTTTTTTTTTGTACATTCTGCAGGTTTAAAACTAATATAAAAAGCCAATTTCAGATTTTTTATGTAACTGGTTTATAGGTTACAAATTTGATATAAAATTTTATGCATAACAGATATTTTTTCCTATAAGGTTTGAATCGTTATCGTGGGAAGCAGTGGCCAATGGCGAGATGTGGGAAGCAAGGTATAGATTGTTTTGCATGCAGTGTAATGAGGAAGTCTGACTGTGTTTTGTAGCAAGGTGTGAAAATGTTGAGCATGTTGAGCACACAGAGCATGCATTTGTTGTTCAATGGAAGGTGTATAGGAATCTGTGATTTCACCTTTGATTGTTGTATTCTTTCCAGAGTTAAAACAGCCTTCTTTATCTTTGATCTGGCTGAGTCTGCTCATTTGTCTGCAGCAGTCAAGAATCAACTCTACTATTATTCTTACAAGGTAAACTTCATTTATCGTAGAATTAGATTACACTTTCATGTAACCAGTTACACTGACTGCATCTGTCAGACATTTTTTTCGTTTTTGAATTCTGCCAGTATTTTTGCCGCTTGTAGCCATGTTCACTGATGAATTCCTTATTAGCATATAGGATACAGGAATTTTTACACAGGGAAATTGGATTACATTGTTGTAATGTATGAGATCTGTGTGAGATTATCTTTGATCTTGAGAAAAAAAAAAAGAGCTAGTCAAATATTAGCTGCCATTTTTAAAGATGAACTCAGACATAAATAGTAGACGGTAAATATTACATTCTGTGATGACATAAAATAATTTCCATTTTTTTTTGGTTTATGTGATATCCTGTGTTACAAGCCTACCTTTTGGTGCATTAATTGTATATTTGGCTGAATCTTCTGGAGGCCAGTCTCTCCTGAAAGCCACTATGGTGCACCCAAATGGGTCTCCAAATTGTCCATTTCTATTGTAACACTAGTCACAGCTATGCCCTTCATACAGTGATGGAGAACACTCTGTTATGGTTGCTAAGGAGTAGAAAGACACTGTGGTCTATCAAGTCCATAATCCCTACCTCAGGCCTTCCCTGAAAATAAAAATAGTACTAAATCTACTGAGAGATGTAGTTCAGAGGAGGCCGGCTACATCAGTGGGCTGTGACATGGAGCTGCCATTGTTACACTCCCCCAAAGAGGCTTTCTGTAAACCTTTATATGGGCTCAATGCACCAAGTATCCAGGATTTCTGTATGAAAGCCGAACTGAAGCCTCACTCACGCCTATTTTGTCTGCAACCTGTATGTTATGGTTTTTAACTGATTTTGCTTAAACATGCCTTAAAATATGTTTTCTCATATCAGAAATGGGCTTGCTAATCTCCCATTCAGTGTATGTTGGTGCAGAAGGGAAATGGACAGACCCCTCATCACTGGTGTCCTGACACAGACATGTATTCCAAAGGATAGGAGGGATTGTGTCTGACACGCCTGTTAAATTACAGAATTCACTGAGCAGACTCTGGTGCCTATTGGACCGACTATTGGTTGTACAGACCCTTGGTGCCCTTGGACTGACTATTGGTTGTACAATTGCTGCAGCTGCAAACTATGGGCAAGTCTATGAAAATGACAGCTGTTAGTAAAACTTCTGACTACAAATTTTTGGGACTTAAATTGGGCTTTAAAATTAAGGTAATTGGAAAAGTATTTTTAATAATGGCTACAAGTTAATGCATAATGCAGATTAGAAACTGATTGCAAATGGTCACTCTAGTTAAAATTACTGTTGTGTTTTTATACTCCCTCTACCTTTTTATTATTGGAATTTGAAGCAGGTTTGGAATTTAATGGATAGGAGAAGCACATACACAATGAAATATGGCATTGATAGTGTTGCAAAGATAAGGAAAGTGTCTTTTCTGTCATGTTTCAGCTGTACAGAGACGTTATTAACAAACAAGAGAATCACCCCATCACTTGGCACAAAAACTATGCCATTGCCTGCGAACGAATGCTGCGCCAGCAGAGACGCGACATCAACCCGGAAATTCTTTTGGATGATGCCATCAAACATTTTTCTGCATACGCCAGCAAGGCAAAAGATGACAATCAAAGGGATGCAATATTACATGCTGTTCAATACTTCAAAGAAGAGCTCCTGCGACTTAAGGAAACTCTGAAAGGAAACACGTAATGCACCTCTGCAATGACACATTAACCTCTTGCCGTCCGCCCGTAGTAAAAAAATTTCGGTAATTTTTCCTTAATATAGTAAAAAAATAAAACCCCCAGTGGTGAATAAATACCACCAAAAGAAAGCTCTATCTGTCCCCAAAAAAGGGTATAAAATTCATTTCAGTACAGCGCTGCATGACGGAATAAATGTCAGTTAACGTACCGCAGCGCTGAATACTGAAAAATGGCCTGGATGGGAAGGGGGGTTTAACACCGCGGATGTCAACTGGTTAAAGAAGACCTACTGACCTCAGGCTCTGGAGGAAGCCATGTTGTAGCTGTTGATTTTCCAGAGAAAAAAAATGATGTAACAGAAGCACAGTTAGGATTATATTTTGGGTGCTAAATCAGTATATGCAGAAATTGGGTTTAGCAGTTTAATGAGGATCTCTCTAAGGCAAGGTTGAGATGGTCATTTGAGGAACTTATCCGATATTTACCACAGTGCGGCCAATCAGGTTTCTAGGTTCTAGTGACCGGTTTGAGGCACAGTAAAGGCAGCCATTTTGTTAGGCCTAGTTCACACAGGCTTCAGGTTGAATAAGACCATCGTGAACACAACATTTTTGTCAGCTCCAGTTTGGGAATGTTAAACGCATATCTTGATGGGAGTGCTGACTGTCACTTTAAACAAGCTTCAAGCAGGCTTTCAACATGCCTATAGTTGATCTAAAGCTTACTGAAGCCTGCTAGTAGCCTGTTTAAAGGTTCCCATTAAGATCTGTGTTTAACATTCCTAAAATGGAGCTCATGGGTCCTTTTGAGCTTCAACAAAGCTTACCTTAAGCACTGCACATGCTTTGTAAAAGTTTGCTGTTAACACTGTTCTTATACAAGCTGAAGCCCGTATGAACTAGGCCTACCTTTACTAATTACAGATTCACATAATATAGACAGTTCAAAAAGACTGTTACCCTTTATATAGAAGATGGACCCATTATTCTTGCCCATTGCTGAGACACTTTTTACCACCTAAGGCTTAGTACACACAGGCTTTAGTTCATATAAGAGATCTCAGGGACTGCTAGAGGCTGCCATGAGTATGGCTCACCTATAGGAATGGGGCAGAAGCTTGCAAAGGCTGTGTGGTAATGGGTAGGGCCACACAGTCAGTGAATATCACTAAAATAGAAAGGTAGGTAAGTGCTTTATACCACAGGTTGCCATCAAGGGGCTGGGACATTATTTAAAAACCACTATACTATTGTTTACTATTTCTTGACAGTGAGATAATGTGCAGTGGCACTAGCAAAGAGTTATTATATCTGCACTGTGGGTCAAAACTCCATGTTTCAGTGGCTAAAACACTGCAAGCAGATTCCAAAATGGCAGCTTCCAATGAAATGGGGTAAGTGCAGGAGAGGGGACCCCTCTAACTTGCCAAATTGTGAGCTCTCTGGCATAGGTCCAATTCTCTTTTCTTACTGATTCATAATTACAGGTCCACCTTAATAAATGAGTAATGCCTTCATTTTTCTCAGGTATGTGTGTTATTGCTAATGTACATCCACATTATTGTAATTAAATGTATAATACAAATTCTTCTCCATGTGCAACAAATCTATGATTATACACCAAAATTCACCATGTATTTACTAAGTACTATATAAGTAATTCTTATTGTAATGCTCACCTTAAAGAAGGTTTCCATTTGACTTTCTCATTTTATGTGTTTGTTGTGCCATATATCCATGGTTGTATTAAAAAAAAAGATATACACAGATTTGCAGAGTTACACTCTAATGGCTGTGTATCTGTCTATATTCTACTACAGCCACTCACAAGCCATGGGGTAAGGTTTGCTGGAGTACACAAGTCTGTTTATGAAAACAGTAACAAATTTGGATTTGTAGTCCATACTGACTTATCAAACGTCTTGCTTCAGTTTTCCAGAGAATAAAAGATGAAAAGTGATTTGTCACTGTGAGCAACAGTCCAGATTTTCTTCCTGTTTTCTTCAATTCTTTTTTATGAGCCCCTGAAGTAGAAGTAAATCCTTTGAACAGAAAAATATCAATCAATAATGTTGTTTTTCCTTTGTATCTTGTCTCATTGTGCATGTATCATATTTTATCATCATGTGAAATAAACAATATCTTATTTTATACTTCTAAAATGTTTTTAAAAAGTTACATTGTTTAAACTCTATGAAAAAGTTTAAGGAGAACGCACAAAAGAAACACTGCTCCACACAAAAGAAACACTGCTCCTCCACGGCTCAGGAAAGGAATGAGCCAGGAGCCTTGCCACTGGGAGCTTGTCCTTACTCCAATATTAGCCCATACAAACTAAAGAAAAGTTGGCTGCACACCGAATTCCACTGGGATAGTTTTTTGGAACTTGTACCACATCACTGGTGTCCTGCCCAGGGTCCACCCATTCTGACACATTTCAACCAATTAAGGGTGTAGTCTCTATGACTAAGTCAGTGATTGGGTGAAATGTGTCAGTGGTGGTAGACCTTGGGCAGCTGCACAAGGGCTCTTTGGCATTTAGGGGCCCGTTTACATGAATATGGGTTAGGCAGGTACTGAAACCCTGTACCATTGTCACATAGATCTGTATGTCACTCACATCTAGTGCTGGTGGGAAATGAGAGGCCTTGTTCATTATGCCCTAGCTGTGCTTCTGTTTTGTATTACACAAGTGGTATTGGGCAACAAGCACCTCCTTCACTCCATGCCTGATCAACACTGAGACATGCAGAATGCCGCTCTCGTGTCCTCCTGGTACCATTTGACAAGGAACTCCAATCTCCATTAGAGATAGAGACCCACAATACTGCATGGAATCCTGCCATTAAGACTATAGGAACCAAGTTTATGGTTTAGCCCATTAATATGTTTAAAAGTAATGACATTGGGAATTAAATTACATTTTCAGCACCAACTGGATTCTTTTTTTTGTTCATGTAAAATGAAATTAGAGGCCTTTCTATCAACAACATAACACTTTAACAAGCCCCTGTGTTAACTGCTTAGGTGGTACCCCCTGGTGTTACCTAATGCTCAAAACCACTTTTGTCTTTAACCTGGTTGCAAAAACATGTTGCCGAATAAACTGGATCCTATATTTTTTTTTGTTGCTTTTTGTTAATTATTTTCACATTTATGCTTCAACCCATTTGTTCTCCTGTTGATCTATTCCTAATAATTAGCTGGCTCCTGCTGCTGCTGTGTAAAAGGAGACTTCAGAGGCTACTTTCCGAATGAATGTCTGTTTCAGGCATCTTTTATGAGTATTTGCTAAAGAGTGCGTACAAGAGAAAATGCAAATCATTGTTCTTTATTTTCTTATGACAGTTAATTAATGGCAACCTGTTTTAATGAATAAAGTCACTCCGAGTCCTTCAGCATTTCCTAAGTAGAAGGTAGAATCTGTAGGGATGCTTTTTCTTCCAATTGTATAGCTTGTAGACTCCGAGAACTGTATAGACCCCTGTATAGAAATGCTCACTAATGAAGAGGGAGGGCTAGAAGCTTGTCCGCATTCATAGATCACCAGTGAGTCATTCGGCAAGAAAGGGCCCCTTACCAGGCATAGTCACAGTTCCGTGGCATTGTGCTAGCAAAAAGACCCGATCAAAGGTCTCCTGCGGAGCTTGCATGGTTCCCTTTCATTCTACGACCATAATTAAAACCACTAATTCTCTTTTAAAATGCTGCAGGATGCCATGTAGGCATCTGTCTCGGGTATCCTTTGTGATGTCATAAGCTGTTAAGGACCAGTGCCGAAGGGCTTTTGAACGAAATGCCGGTCGTGAAGGTGATTCAAGACAAGGGTGCGTCTAAAGGCTTGACAAGGCTTTGACTGCACAATTCGATCTGAATTTGCCCCTTGTCAGCTGCCAGTAAATAAATCTCAAAAGGGAGAAAGCTGAAGTTTCATTACCTGATCCGTGGTCCTTTGTTGGTTCTGGCATCACACAGGGCGAAGCTCTTGCCTTGCTTTTCTCTAAATTTGAAGATGGCCAGTGGAGCCTGCAGTGTCTGGACAAGGTTCAGAGTCGAACCTTTTGATGAGTGTCAATAGTTGTAACAGTTCAGCTGTTCACAAGACAAATACATGGAGGAGCTCATTAATTCCCCTTTTGGCTTTGGCTGCCTTTTGCCCTTTTATCACAAAATTATTAGGCTCCTACTCATCTTGGAGAAAAAAAAAAAGATTGGATAGAAGTTGTTGAGTGCTAATTGGCTAAGACTTGCATTGAAAGGCTGGGGACTTTCACTGACTTGAAAGTAACTTCCCTGCAGGGGAGAGGGAAAAATATGGTTCCCCCTAAAACAAAAGCATTGATGGTCAGATGGGGTGTACATTTTTTTTTTTCCTAGATCCATTTAAGAAAGGGTCTGCATAAAATATATGTCCCCTATGATACGGGAAATGAAAGAAAAGAAAATTCTTGGTTGGAAAACGGAGGTTCCTGCTGGCAGGTTGTTGTGTATTTTATCACAGCAGCTGAGAACCAGCTGCTACCTTAGTACGGAGACCATTGTGAATTTAATTATTTCCTGCCCTTTTATTTTGGGAGGGGGGAATGCTTAAATGTGGTCATGTGATCAAAAGATTTCAGTATAAATACAACTAGGCGACATAAACAGACAGCGCCACTGCAGTTTATTGATTTACATCTTGAACTTGAAAGGGTAAAGATAGCAATGCATTTACTTACATCACGATACATAAAGGGCCTCTGTGTTCTACAGCGCTTTTTAAAAATGATGAATATTAACAATAGCACAATTGGGCATATGTCTCACTTTGAAGCCCTTAGTTCAATAATAGAGGCCTTATATGCAAATCTTAACATAAATCTTTGTTACCATATCTTAACTTTCCAGCAGAAAAACTTTACATGCTCCTGCCCTGTGCTGATCATGTGACCAGAAGACTAAGCATTTAGTCACATGATCTCTCCTATTTAGCATGACCAAATGCCTACGCGTTTTTAATCATGGGATTGGCAAATGGATCA